ACAGTATAGAACTACTCAAGATGCTGTGATCCCCATCCATAATATGATCCGAGAGCTGGAGAGCCAAAGGGTGCTCAGCAAGACCCACTCACCCTTCAACAACCCCATCTGGCCTGTGCAAAAATCTGAAGGAGAATGGAGATTGACAGTGGACTACCGTGCATTGAATGAAGTGACTCCACCATTGAGTGCTGCCATGCCAGACATATTAGAGCTCCAGTATGAGCTTGAGTCCAAGGCAGCAAAGTGGTGCGCCACTATAGACATTGTCAATGCATTTTTCTCCATTCCTCTGGCAGCAGAATGCAGGCCTCAGTTTGCTTTCACATGGAGGGAGTGCAGTACACCTGGAACCGACTGCCCCAGGGGTGGAAGCACAGCCCCACCATCTGCCATGGACTGATCCAGGCTGCACTAGAAAGGGGTGAGGCTCCAGAACATCTGCAGTATATTGGTGACATCATTGTGTGGGGGAGCACAGCTGCGGAAGTGTTTGAGAAAGGGAAGGAAATCATCCAGATCCTCCTGGGAGCTGGTTTTGCCATTAAAAAGAGCAAAACAAAGGGACCAACTCATGAGATTCAATTCCTGGGAGTGAAGTGGCAAGATGGACGGCATCAGATTCCCACAGATGTCAACCACAAAATCACAACAATGTCTCCACCCACCAATAAGAAAGAGACACAAGCTTTCCTAGGCGCCATAGGTTTTTGGGGAATGCATATTCCTGAGTACAGTCAGATCGTGAGCCCTCTTTACCTGGTCACCCGCAAGAAGAACAATTTCCAGTGGGGCCCTGATCAGCAAAAAGCCTTTGTCCAGATCAGGCAGGAGATTGCTCATGCAATAGCCCTTGGCCCGGTCAGGACAGGACCAGAAGTAAAGAACATGCTCTACTCTGCAGCTGGGAACCATGGCTTGTCCTGGAGCCTTTGGCAGAAGGTGCTTGGGGAGACTTGAGGCCGACCACTAGGATTTTGGAGTCAAAGCTACAGAGGCTTTGAAGCCAACTACACTCCCACAGAGAAGGAAATCTTGGCTGCCTATGAAGGAGTCCAGGCTGCCTCAGAGGTAATAGGCACTGAAGCACAACTCCTCCTGGCACCCCGACTACCAGTGCTGGGGTGAATGTTCAAAGGCAAGGTTCCTTCCACTCACCATGCCACCAGTGCTACATGGAGCAAATGGATTGCTCTTATCACTCAGAGCGCCTGTATAGGTAAACTGAATTGCCCTGGGATTTTGGAGGTCATTACAAATTGGCCCGAAGGTGAAAATTTTGGTGTCACAGATGAAGAGGAACAAGAACCAGTGACACGTGCTGAAGAGGCTCCTCCCTATAACCAACTGCCACCAGAGGAAACATGCTATGCTCTTTTCACTGACGGTTCCTGTCGTATTGTGGGAATGAACTGGAAGTGGAAAGCAGCCGTATGGAGCACCACACGACAGGTGGCACAAGCTACCTAAGGAGAAGGTGGATCAAGCCAACTTGCTGAACTCAAAGCTGTTCAACTGGCCCTAGACATTGCAGAAAGAGAGAAATGGCCAAAACTCTACCTCTACACTGATTCATGGATGGTAGCCAATGCTCTGTGGGGATGGCTGGAGAGGTGGAAAGAGGCTTACTGGCAGCGTAGAGGAAAACCAATTTGGGCTGCTGATGAGTGGAGAGACGTTGCTACCAGGGTAGGGAAACTGCCTGTGAAGGTCCGCCATGTGGATGCCCATGTACCCAAGAGTAGAGCTAATGAGGAGCACCAAAACAATGAGCAAGTAGACCAGGCTGCAAAGATAGGGGTGTCCAAAATAGACCTAGATTGGGAACATAAGGGAGAGTTATTCCTAGCTCGATGGGCCCATGATGCCTCAGACCATCAGGGCAGAGATGCCACCTATAAGTGGGCACGAGACCGAGGGGTGGATCTAACCATAGACAGTATTTCACAGGCTATCCATGACTGTGAGCCGTGTGCTGCCATCAAGCCGGCCAAGCGAGTGAACCCCCTGTTGTACGGTGGGTGGTGGTCCAAGTACAAGTATGGGGAGGCCTGGCAGATTGACTACATCACACTGCCCCAGACATGCCAGGGCGAGCGCTACGTGCTGACCATGGTGGAAGCCACCACTGGATGGTTGGAAACCTACCCTGTGTCTCATGCTACGGCCCGGAACACCATCCTGGGCCTTGAAAAGTAGGTCCTTTGGAGGCATGGTACCCCTGAGAGGACTGAGTCAGAAAATGGGACTCATTTCAAGCACAGCCTTATCAACACCTGGGCTAGGGAACATGGCATTGAGTGGGTGTACCATATCCCCTACCATGCACCAGCTGCAGGAAAAGTGGAGAGGTACAATGGACTACTAAAACCCAGTTGAAAGCTTTGGGTGGGGGATCCTTCAAAAATTGCGAGCAGCATTTAGCAAAAGCCACCTGGTTAGTTAACACCCGAGGTTCCACCAACCGAGCAGGTCCTGCCCAGTCTGAGTCCCTGAATATATTAGCTGGAGACAAAGTCCCAGTGGTACATATCAGAGGTTTGTTAGGGAAGACTGCGTGGATCAATTCTGCCTCAAGTAAAGACAAACCCATTATTGAGATTGTCTTTGCTCAGGTTGCACATGGTGGATAATGCAAAGAGATGGAACAACATGATGTGTAATTCAGGGAGATCTGATTGTGGGGTGAAAATGATATGCAAATGCAAAAATGATATTCGTTGGATGTTACTGCAATTGTCTGTACGTTAAAAACCGTACGGACATGAGATAGAAGGAAATGTGTAAGTATCGAGGGTGTTAGCAAGTGAAAGATGGAGCTTTCAGTGAGTAAAGTGAAAGGGGGGAATCCTGCAGCTCTGTGGTATGGGGCCTGGGTTCAGTGGTCCAGTGTGGGGATGCAATGAGGGCATGATGAATATTGCTTGTAATTTTTGGGGGAAGCAGATGGAAGTTTTACATCAATAAAATGCATGATGTGTGGTAGTATGTTGACAATATGGGGATAAGGGGTGGAATTTCCTAGGGTGACGTTATGATGCTTGTATCCCCATTCATCTGTTCTGTTTATGCTGGATATTATGTTCTGTGCCTTCAAGTCTGTCTCTGAAGAGCGAATGTTTTGTTTTGGTTTTGCTATCAGCCGCTCCCCCACAGCTGGTGCGACACAGAGACAGGGCAGTACATTGTGCTGCTTTTGCTTTTTGCTTTGCTCTTGCTCTTGCTTCTGCTTTGCTCCTGCTTTGCCCTTGCTTTTTGCTTCTGCTCATTAGTTAGTTTAGTTAAGCAGTCCAAATTTTTCTCTGGACTGTTTCTTCTTTCCCTTTTTTGGACCTACTCAAACCTGCTCTGGACTGGGACCTGGGAACACCAAGAGTTTGCACCTTGTGGCTGCAGCAGCTGCCCCAGCACCAGAGGGACTGAAAACAGAGCGACCACCCCTCGAGAGAGACTTTCTGAATTGGTCATCTTTTTCAGAGTGGTGAAAGAGTGTTGTCATCTGGTACTGTTCATTTTGTGTGCTTGGGAGTGCTTTGCCTGTTAAATAAACAGGTTCTTTCCATTTCTCTCCAAGGAATCCTTCCCGAACAGGCTGAAAGGAGGGGTCGTATGGGTTTGCTTTCTGGAGGCGCCCCCTTTGGAGGTTTTCTCACAGATTTGCCCTAAACAAAGACATAGGCACAGCCAGCAATGTCAGGACTCTGTCAGGTGCCCACCCCTGAGCTGGGCTCATGCCCTGCTCAGAGTCCCAGGGCTGTCCAGGACACGAGTCCTTCCCTTGCACACACACGCACAGAGTTCATTGCAGCATGGGCAGGAGCTCCCTGGGCTCCACTGCCACTGCCAGAGCCTGGCAGGGACCTCAGCCCTGCGGGTGTCACCCTGCCTTGCCCTACCCTGCCCTACCCTGCCCTGCCCTGCCCTGCCCTGCCCTGCCCTGCGCGGCCCTGCCCTGCCCTGCCCTGCCCTGCCCTGCACTGCCCTGCCCTTCCTGAGGTGCCCCATGGCCAAAGGGATGAACATGGGGAGCTCTGTGCTCAGGAGCTCATCCCAGCCCTGCACTCAGGGGTTCCCAGGGGATGTTACTCTCTGGAAGCTCCAGGAGCAGCTGAAGGTGTTTGTGCTCACTGGGTTTATGTCCCCTCAAACACACATGATGTTCAAGGCTGTGGAATGGCCGTGCACTGCAAACACAGACTCCTGACCCTGTCACTTGATGTCCCTCCATGGAGGGAAGAACAACCTCTGTGACCTGGGGTGAGAGGCCACTGCTGTAGCAGTGCTGGCTTTGCAAGGGCAATGCTGGCACAGCCCCCCACCCTGATCACTGCCACACTTCTGCTGGTCACTGCTGGTTTCCTCTCCAGGACCCTGTGTTGGGCACATCCCTGAGAGCAAACTGGGAAGAGGATTGAAGCTTTCAGGCCCTGCACTGGGGAGATGCCCTTGCACAATGGAAATGCTGCTGCAGAGCCCAGCTCTGTCCCAGCAGTGCCCACGGTCTGTCCCTGCCTGCAGTCCCTGGACAGTCACACAGCAGGACAGGGACTGACCTGGAAGAGCCCTGAGGCCTAAAACCAGCACAGGGGCTCTGAAGGGGAGTGTGGGAGTGAAGGAAGGGGAGGTTATGGAGGAGAAGCCCGGGGGCTCCCTGGCAGGGAGGAGAACTGGGGTTCCCTTTTCTGCTCGAGCTCTGCCCAGAGGCAGCGACCCTACAGATCCAGAGAAGCCAGGGAGGAAAGATGTCAGGCACACAGGGCAATACAGAGCTCTTTATTTTGTGTAAGCACATAGGGAGTACAGAAGTAGTACAGATCCTGGTTTATACAGCCTCTCGGTGCAATACTAAAGAAAAATACTAAAATAGAAACAGTAGTTTCAAAAATTGTTGTGTGAACAAATTCACAAAAGTGTAACAGCTGTGTAAATAGCAAAAAATACAGGACACAGAGTGAGAATTAATGAGTAACACCATAAGAGCTATGTAGAAGAATAAGTGTTTATTGCTTCTGAATATCATTTGTTATAATTTTCCTCAGACCATTCTTGAGCTCCTGGTTCCTCAGGCTGTAGATGAGGGGATTCAGGGCTGGAGGCACCACCAAGTACAGAACTGACAGGGCCAGATCCAGGGATGGGGAGGAGATAGAGGGGGGCTTCAGGTAGGCAAAAAAGGCAGTGCTGATAAACAGGGAGACCACAACCAGATGAGGGAGGCAGGTGGAAAAGGCTTTGTGCCGTCCCTGCTCAGAGGGGATCCTCAGCACAGCCCTGAAGATCTGCACATAGGAGAAAACAATGAACACAAAACAGACAAATGCTAAAGAGATGGAAAAAACAATAACCTTAAGTTCCCTGAGGTAGGAATTTGAGCAGGAGAGCTTGAGGATCTGTGGGATTTCACAGAAGAATTGGCCCAGGGCATTGCCATGGCACAGGGGCAGGGAAAATGTATTGGCTGTGTGCATGAGAGCATAGAGAAAGGCAGTGGCCCAGGCAGCTGCTGCCATGTGGGCACAAGCTCTGCTGCCCAGGAGGGTCCCGTAGTGCAGGGGTTTGCAGATGGACACGTAGCGGTCGTAGCACATGACAGTGAGAAGTGCAAATTCTGCTGACATGAAAAAGGCAAAGAAGACAACCTGTGTAGCACATCCTGAGTAGGAGATGTCCCTGGTGTCCCAGAGGGAATTGTGCATGGCTTTGGGGACAGTGGTGCAGATGGAGCCCAGGTCGCTGAGGGCCAGGTTGAGCAGCAAGAAGAACATGGGCGTGTGCAGGTGGTGGCCGCAGGCTACGGTGCTGATGATGAGGCCGTTGCCCAGGAGGGCAGCCAGGGAGATGCCCAGCAAAAGGCAGAAGTGCAGGAGCTGCAGCTGCCGCATGTCTGCCAATGCCAGCAGGAGGAAGTGCCTGATGGAGCTGCTGTTGGACATTTGCTGGGTCTGCACATTTCAACCTACAGAAGGAGGAAAGACAGGGCAGTGGAGGGGAAATTTCTCACAGAAAAGTCAAAGCCCTTTCTCATTCACTCTTTCCTTCCACTAAATACCTCCCCCTGTCCATGTCTCAGAGACCTTCCTTCACCTTTGTTGCTGGAGCCCTGATTGCTTCTGGCCAACGCTGTGTGAGCAGCTGGACCTTGGCCTGCAGAACACCTGGGAGTCAGCCCTGACCCCCAGTCAGTGCAGGGCAACAGTGAGGGAGTAGTGCAGGAGCTGCAGCTGCCACATGTCTGCCAATGCCAGCAGGAGGAAGTGGCTGATGAGCTGCTGTTGGACATTCCTTCACTCTGGGCATTGTGAGCTGTTAAAAGACAACATTGACAATTTGGACAAAGTACCTGGACTCAATCCTATGCTAATTTTTTACACAATCTCTAAAAATTGCTTCTCTTTCTTTAAGGAAATTTCATTTCTCTTTTTTTAAAAAATTTTTTTTTTATTTGAGTGTTGGTTTGGACTGCTAAATAACTGTGTGTTTTCTGGAAGGGACAGAAGTCCTGTTCTTAGCATTGCTCTCAGGCTGAACACTGGGGAGCCCAGAGGGAAAACAGGACTCCCTGTGCTCCAGTGCAGTCAGATACGCTGTTCCCAAACAGCTGCCATTTGCTAATTTCACCTCCCTCGAGTACAGGTAGTACAAAGTTATAATTGTATTTTAAAATGACATGGCCTTTTTAAGGACTTCAGTATCAAAATCAATCTCTCCAACTCTTTTCTCTTTCCCTGTGCATCTGGACAGGGAGGGATACCAAGGGTTGGTCTGGCTCTCTGCTGACTGGAGTTGTGCCTACTGGGAGCTGTTTCTCTCTATCCAAGCCTTGTCCCTGCCTGTGCTGCCAGGGCCCAGACCAGCCCTGGGAGCTCAGCTCTGCCCTGCAGACACCCACTAGCACAGGGCACTGCCCAGGGGCATCTCCCTGGCAGCAGGGCCTTAAGGGCAGGCCAGACAAACAGAGATGCTGCAAGCCAAGGTGCTGCTGCTGCTGTCTGTAGGGAGAGGAGGCTGAGGAGGCACTTTCTGAGGGAGATCTGAGGCACATCTGCTGATGCCCAGGCTGACAGTGCACGAGTCTCAGTGACACAGCCAAAGCTGACAGCCCCTTTCCCTTCCCTTGAGGAGAAAGCTGAGAGCAGCCCTGGCCATGCAGCACCATCTCCACAGCAGGAGGAATCTGCCCTGATGGGGGTGGCTCCTTCCACCTCCAATTTCTCCCCTGCAGCGTCTATGGGGAGCTGCCAGGCAGGCTGAGAGCTGCCCCTGGCATGGGGCACATGCCCTGGGCTGGCCAAGAGCCCTGAGGGCTGCAGGAGCTGCTCTGCAGGACAGCCCTGGGCAGCCCTGGCTGCAGCCGCAGCTTCACCCCCTGCAGCCGTCCCTGGCAGCAGGAGCCGTCCTGCCCTGTCACTCTGACGGTGCCCAGGGCAGCCCCACTCTGCAGCACATCCTCCTCCTGCTCCTGTGCCAGAGAGAAACTGGGAGAATCCTCCTGACACACCCCCCAGGTGGTGGGGTGTGCTGGCTTCAGGAGATCCCTCCAGGGGCGCAGGGGACATTGCCCTGCACTCACAGACTCACCATGCACAGGGCTGTGAAGATGTTTCCCCAAGTGAAGTCTCAGCTCAGTGTCTTCCCAATCCTGATTGCCTTCAGCCTGTCTCTGCCTGGCTCCTGTCCCCTCAGTGCCTGCAGGCAGAGCCCTCTGCCCTGCTGGGCCGGGCGAGGAGCTGGTCCTGAGAAGAGCTGTTCCTTTAAAGCTCAGCAGCACAGTCACAGCACAAGGACTTAAATGAGACTCTTGGGGATTTAGTGTTGTTTACATAAGACTCATTCCCTAAGAGGGTCTTCAAAAAACTTCTCAACAACTCAAAATTAAATTGAAACTCCAAAGTTTCTTGAAGTTTTAATGGGTCCCACTGAGGGACACGACTGAGAAAATGTCCCCAGGTTCCAGTAGAGCAGAACACTGGAGGCAGTGATGACAGCTGGGGACAAACAAGGCCAAGGTGTCTCTGGTGCTGAGCAAAGCTGGATGTGTTTGAGGAATGCAAAGGGCCAAGGCCTGAGCCCCAGCCCCAGGCCAGGCAGATCCTGTTCCTCCCTCCTTGCTCAAGGCTCTTGCTGGGATGGGCACTGGCATGTGGGGATGTGCAGTGGCAAGGGCAGGAGCATGGGGCGGCCCCTGCCAGGCTGCTGAGCAGGGACAAGGAGGCAATGAGGCCCCAGGCCTGCAAGGGTCACTTGTCTCCTGCTCCTGCCTCAGGCCCAGGCCCAGCAGCCATGGCCAAAGTGCTGCCCAAGTTGGCTCTGGCAGGGCTGTCTTGCAGCTGCTGCCCATCCCTGTGCCCTGTGCAGCCCAGGCTGTCCCACGATGTCCCTGCCCTGTCTCTCTGTCCCAGCAGGCTGCTGGCATCCCCCGGCTGCCCCACCTGGCTGGCCCCTTCCTTTGCTGACAGCTCTGCCTCCTGCCTGCCTCTGCCTGCCCTCACAAAGCCTTGGACTGACCCAGACTCCTTCTGGGAGATGTGTTGTGCCACAGTCCTGCCCTGGGAGGGAAATTAATCTCTCCTGGTTTCCATTCTGTGTCTTCACAGCTTCACTTGGTGACATTATTTCTATCTCAGGCTCATTTCCACTATGAAGAAGATGTCCATTATATTTCAATCCACCTTTGTAGTCCTCACAGGCTATTCTTGTTTTGTCCTCAGTCTCCACACAACTGAACTCAGAACGTCCACCTCCCATACAGTGATCATGTTCTGGGAGCCTGCAAAGCACATCCTGGGAGATCTCTGGGCCTCCTCAAAGGTGTTCAACCTTGGAGATGTGATTTAAGTCCAGGACTGGCTGAGTACTTTTTTGCCCAAAGGTTGTACTGGGGAGTATAATACAGAATAATACACTGTATCTTTCAAGTGACTGAGGGCAGATTTCGATTTTCTGTAAGGATCAAATATTTTATGATGATATGGCAGAACACTGGCACAGGTTACCTTGGAATAGTAACCCCATCCCTGGATGGGGTTAAGGTCAGGGGCTTTGTACAACCTGAACGAGTTAATGTGTTCCTGGGTAACGGAAGGGGAGTTTTTCCAGAGGCTCTTTCAAGTCTCTTCTAGCTCAAATAATTTTGCAATTCTTTGATACTTATATCCCAACTGCTTCTCAACAGGGCTGCAAGTACCTATGCACACCATGCCACCATTTTAATCTTGCATAATTCCCAATACTTCCATAAAAAGGAAAGAATTGCCATATCAGGGACATGAATGACCATGTTTATGGAGGAACCATTACAAGCCCAAAAAGTAAAGAAACTGAAAGGAAGGACCAAAATCTCAGTGCAAAAGACTCACCAAGTGGGACAATGGCAAAGACTCCAAAGATGACCTCCCGGCTGTGGATGGGGATTTCTGCCTTGGGGTCTGAGTTCCAGGACAGAAGATCACTCTCAGGAGGAGTCCCAGTGCATTTCCCTGCCCCATGGCTCTGCCCTTCCTGATCCAGCAGCTATGGGGCAGCAGAGCAGGGGCAGTGCAGGGACAGGGCTGGCTCTCACAGGGCTGTTGTTGGTTAGGAATGGTGCTCTCCAATTTACTACTCCCAGTACAAGACCACGTGTGTCCCCAGATTTATATTCCCACCATTGCCCCCCCATACCCCAGGGGCTTTATCTGCCTGGCCCGGCTTGATCTCCACCCACATTTCACGTCAGGGATAACCTGGAGTTGGTGTCCATGGTTAAATCCACCCCTTGCTCATGAGCCCATCTGGAGGTTGCACCTTTTCCCTGATGACCTGAGGTGTCCAGAAATAACTCACCCTTGTGTGGCCAGTCCAGACCCTCCTGAGACACTTTAATCCTGGCAGCCCCATCCCCGTGTCCGTTGTTGTGATGCTTTTCAGTGCCCAACTCTTGGGCACGTGAGCATCCACAGGAGGGAGTTTCACAGGCAACTTCTCCCCCAGACAGAGATGTCTTGCCCCAGTCCAGCAGCCCAGCTGGGTTTCCCTCTGTGCTCCCAACTGTCCTTTTTCCATGGTTCCAGCCACCCCAGAGAGCATTTCCCACGATCCCTGAGTCAGTGCAGAGGTGCAGCGCTGGCCATTTCTCTTGCTCAGAGCTCCAGGGATGGTCCCAGAGCTACAGTGACTGCAGGAAAGGGGACCCCACAGTGGGACATTTCTTGGTCAGATACAGACAGGAAGAGTGACAAACTGTCTGTGACTCAGGTTTTGGCCTGGCAGCCCCTGCCGTGGTTTGTAGGGAGCTGCAGTGTGGCTCGGCCCTGGCTGTGCCAAGCAGTGCTGGCCTGGGAGAAGGTGTAGGTGCCAGCCGGCCCAGGGAGCTGCAGCGTGTGGGGAACAAATCCCTCCTGGGCTCCTGCCCCAGGGTGGCACTGCAGGGCCTCATGGAGCCAAGGGGCCATTGTAGCACTTCAGGGCCCCATGGAATTAAGGGGACTCTTTGGACATTTTGGGGCCTTGTGGGACTGAGGCCATTGTGACACCAGAATCAAGGGGCCACTGTGAAAATATGGGGCCTTGGGGAACTGATACTGAAATCACCCAAATAGATACTTTCTAACAGAGTTTGAGTATTTAAAAGCAGCCATTCTTTATTGCAGTGCCTGGTCACTAGGAAGATCATTCTTTCGACTGCCCCAAGGGTCAGTTGTGCAGAGGTTTTATCACACACACTAATTACACATCCATGAGCCATTCCTCCTTACTTAATGGATAGTTATTACTTTATTTTACATACTTGTACAGCTTTTGGTAAGTCCTTACCAGCAGCCAGTATCCTTTTCAGGTGGCTGTTCCTCGACCCCTGCCTTTGAATAAAGGCATTATGGTTGTTTCCCATAACTTCTGCTTTGTCAGCCTTGCAGGGCTGAGCTGGCATCCTGCTTGTGTTTTGTATGACTCGTCTTTGCCTGAGTTACATCCTTTATCCATTTCTCCAGGGCTGTGCTGTTCTGTTCTCCTGTCCCTGTCAAGAGCATGGGAAGGATGCTTCTCTGCCCCAGATCAGAGAGAGAACCCCTCTGTGGGCACTGGAACAAGCAGCTACAGGCTGGAAATAACCATGAATGCTTTCAGCAGAGCACATCCAGTGGGCTGTTCAGGAGCTGGACAGAGGCTGCTTAGTGACAGCTGAGCTGAGGAACAGCTCCACGTGTCCTTGGACACAGCCTGTCCAAGAGCTCCCACCTGGTGCCCCCACAAGGAGTCATTGGGGTGGGCAATGCCTTTGAAGGTTGGAGTCCCCACAAGCAGGGTGTGCTCCAGCCTGTGCTGATACCCCTGAATCCCCCCGGGCACACCCTGCACCCAGAGCTGGACACTGCAGGGCAGAGGCCACCAAGGAACTTCTGCATCCCTGTGGATCTGGGGAGCATCTTGTTTTGTGGAGAAAAGAAGAAGAAGAAGAGAAAAGAAGAAGACCTGAAGATCTCAGGTCTCCTTTTATCCCCCTTCCAAATGCATATGCATACAGTTTCACAATAGGTTCCTACATATTCATTCCACGTGACATTTGTCGCCAGTTCTTCTTTATCAAAGGAATTCCTAGGTTGGGGGCAAATTGACCTTGTGGTCTTTTCTGTTTTTCTTTCTCTGTCTTCTGGCTGGCTCGCCAAAATGTTTTGTGGAGAAAAGAAGAAACTTTACAACTTTTATAAAGTTCTGAAGTTTCTTCTTTTCTCCGCAAAACAATCTACACGAGGGAGCAGCTGGGTGAGAGCATCTTGTGCTTCCTCCTGCACTCTGAGGAGGAGCTGGGGTGGAATCAGAAGCCCAGCCTCTCACAGACCCTCTGCACTGGCTCCTACCCAGACATGGAGAAAACTGCCTGCTGGTTCTACCAACTGGTGAGATCAGCATGGTTCCTTTTGCCTCAGTCCCACCTTCAGCATTTGGTGTTTCAGCCCTACAGCCAGTCCTGCAAATCCCAGCTGAGCAAAGGCAAGAAAAGCCTCATGGCTGAGGTGATGTTTGGGGTGTGTCAAGGTGACTCCAACACCTTTGTGGGCAGCCAGCCCGCAGAACCCCACTGCACCCAAGACCAGCGTGGCCTGGGACCTGCCCGTGGCAGAGGGGAAATTCTCCAGACTCATCCCAGGCAGTGCCCCCTGACAGCTCACACTGGGAATGCTGCAGCTCTTCCCCTACATCCTGATGGGCACAGGCTTCTCCAGCTCTGCTTGGAAGAGGGTTGGGATGCACCTCCTCCACACCCCTGTCACGGTGGCAAAGCTGGGATTTCCTGCAGTGGCTGCGGCACATCTTGGAACACCTGTGCTGCTCCCTGCAGCTGGAATGTCTTGACCACTTTGTCACAGGCAACAAGAGGGTTCCTGTGCAGATCAGCTTCCCCCAGGTATGTGAATGGTTGAACCATTTAACCCCTTCCAGTCTCTGGTGAGGGGTCTGCATGCCCACACAGAGAGGCTGTGCAAGCTCAGGGTCATGTGTGATTTCAGCTCTGGGTGCTGCTCCATGGCCACTGACACAAAGTCTTCACTCACAGAGTTGTGCCTGTGGGGCTCACACCCAATGGCAGACACAGAAACACTCCCTACTTGGGGTGTTTAATTTGACATAGCAAAATATGTAGGTTTGTTCAAGCCATCATAATGGGAATTGGGTTCATTTTCTTCGCTTTGAAATGTCCTTCATTACTGCCACTACAAAACTCTTTTGCAAACCTACCATTGCTTGCCCAAGAGAATGACTCCACTGGCCAAGACATGTCCAAAAGGAATGCTGACAGAGCCTCAGTGCAGCCCCCTCGGGGAGGTGACAGTGACAAAGAGCTGCCGCAGGAGAACTGGGATTACAGGAACCTCCACAGCATCTGAGTCAAGCCATGGCCCCCACAGGAACACGTGTGGGAAGTGCCTCACTGGCAGTTTATATACACCTACATACAGGACGGGACACCTGAAATCAGCATCTAGAGCTTTTATTTTTCTGGCATCAGTCTCATTACATTGTTATGACAATGGAGAGGAAAGATGCTAACAGCTCACTGATAAAACAGAACGCCAAGGAAACTTAACATTACAGCATAACATAAGACAGTTTCAGTCCAAGTTTCATCCAATCACACAGAGCAAAAGCATATTGACAATAGTTCTATCCAATCACCTGAAGTACATGTAGCTGTGGTTAAAACAATCGCAGTTTTTTCTCTAATACAATGCCTCATTTATAAAAGACAAAGCACAGAGCCCCATTCATATTTAACCTTCTAAATGTATACTTAAAATATACTTTTTTTGCAACTTAGAAAGGCAAATCACATAGGCCTATTGTTCTATTTCTCACGTGTGCACTACAGCTTAGAAAACTTTTTCTGCTGCCTTGGCATTTCACTGTCCTTGCTGTCTTTGGGGCCTGTCTTTTTCACAACTTTCTCAAAACCCTCTAATTTTATGGATTCCAACAATTCCCCCTCTCTGTTGACCCAAAAAGAAACCTTCATACTCATGTCATTTACTACTTGCGTTCTATAGCCCTGTTATAATATTTGTGCTTATTAACTGCTGGAGGCCTATTCTTGCTGACCTTGAGCATTGCTATGTTACAGCACAGCAACTTAATGCTGTGAAGGCCCAGTCAGTGAAAAAAGTATGAATCACGTCTGACAATAGTTACAAGTCATTGTTCAAAAAACTCTTGTCGATTCCAGGGTCTTAAATCAAAACTCTCCTCTATTTTTATACTTTTATCTGGAATTTCTGTGAGATTTTCAACACTCTCTGTGCTTCTACTTCCTAATTCTCTCTCTTGTATGACAAAAACTTCTCGGACCGTTTTGTTCATCATTTGCCGCACACACTGAAGTATGCAGGAAATTACTATTAATATCACTACCAGAACACCCAATACATAAAGACCTATCTTGCAAAGTTGCCTTAGCCAAGGTGCAAAGCTCCATTCTTAGAACAAATCATTCAACTAGGAACCACCATCTACTTTAATTTGAGCTGTCAAATCTTTCAGTTTTTGTATGCTTTTGTGAATGGATTCAGAATGATCGGACAAATTCATACAACAATTGCACCCGTGGCTAAAGTGGTCATGAAAAAGAAACAAAAGAGAAGGAGAGCTGTTCCTAATTATGAGGAGAACTGTCAGAGTGATTTCATGCCTTGGAAAGCTGCAAGAAGGTTTTCTGCAAGTATATTTATTATATTATTATGATATTTAGCTTCAGCAGTGGCATTGAAACAATTAGATCGAGTTAGATGTTAGCTAAGCAAACAAGCTAATGCCACATCCTGTGCAATTAGGGATATGTTAACCAATGTTGATAGTGTTAGACATGCTACCCTTCAAAATAGAGTAGCAATTGATTTTCTTTTACTGGCACAAAGACATGGTTGTGAGGAATTTGTTGTCTTTGTTGACAAGGATTGACAACTGTAGTAGGAATGTTCACCTAGCATAAATTGTTTAATAGATTAATTAGTTTTGAGGAGGCTAATTCAAACTTTGTACTTGAGAGTAATGAGCTGGAACAATTTGAGGACTGGTTGATTGAGGGACAAATGACTGAGATACTGTTGATCTTGAAAAAGATCAACAGATCTTCCTGTGTGTTAGAGTCATGTGCCCTCCTACTGGTCTGAGGGCAAAGCCAGCTTTTTCTGTTCAGCTGTGCTGCTCCTTATCGCTGTGAATGGCTCCAACAGTGGACATGGGCACTTCAAACCAGTGTCAGGACTTGGAAAATTGGAGTGAGAATAAATTCTCAAGAACTACACCTGATGTGTCTCCTATCACTCACTCCACTTGGAGTAGATTGTTGATAAATGATGCATGAGAAGGAGTAAATTTGGACTAAATCTGATTTTGTTACTCATGTGCTGTAATGCAGCCTTGCAAAGGAGCGATGCTTTCATGCCGCTGTGTACACAAGTGTCTGAAGCATGTGAATGCTCCGGTGGTTCCCCTGAGGGCGGCAGCGATGGCGGCACGGCTCCCTCGGCACCGCCCGGGGCCGAGTGGGTGCCCTTTGGGCCCAGACGGGACCGTGGTTTCCCTGGGCCCTGCTCGGCCACAGCCGCCCCCGTCAAGCCCGGGCACTCGCCCAGCTCCAGGAAGCCGCCGGCACTGCTGCGGCTGAAGGGCAAACGCCCTGGGCAGAGGAGCAACCCTGCCGCCACCGCTGCCCCTGCCCCGAGCCCTTCTCCGGCCTGGACAAGGCGCCGCAGCGGGCGGTGGCCGCCCCTCAGCCCACAGGCCCGGCCCCGTCGGGCAGGGAGCCCTGGGCAGCGCCCTTGCGGCAGCAGGGACCGAGCCCCAGAACCGGGCTCTGGTCCCGTGGCACCGCAGGGCCGAGGGGGACACAGGCAGGGTGCTCGGTGCCATCATCCCCAGCCCCGAGCCCTTCTCCTGCCCGGGACTCGCCCCTGCCTCCTCCAAGGCCCTGCTGGGCTCAAGCTGGTGGTCAGCGCTGGGCCTGGCTCTTGTGCTCGCCCCAAGCGGGGTTTGTTTGCAGCCTGGGGTGTAATAAATGAGAAACTTGACTAGGCCAATGTTCAATGTTATGAACAAAAATTTTGTTAATTTTTTTGGTGAGAAAAGGTTAAAAAAATCAGCCAGATCACTGTTGCTGCCAAAGTTCTGCTTGTTCTGTTATTGTAATCACGGGTCATTGTGGCTAATTGCTCCTTTTGTATTAGCAGAGCCTTGCCCAAGGCTAAGTTGTACTTTTCCCCAGAATGGTGAAGAGACCTGAGAGGGTGGGGAGGGCTATGCAAAGTGACTCAAGGACCAGCATGCCATGAGAAGCTACTGCTTCTAGCTTGCTTTAAAAGACCCCAAAACAATGAGCCACCTAATAGTTGAGAGACTGGAGTGATGTTTGGACGTCAGGAATGGAGTGCTGAGCCTGCAGAGATGCGAAACACCTTCGGAGCGCCTCTCACCCTGAGCACGGGAGTCGTCCCGACGCTGGGAGCGGACGGGAAGGAGAGGGGAAAAGTAACATCGGAAGGGGTCACCACGCCCTAAAGGCTCCCACGAAGACTGGACGCCCAGTTCTGCCCCTAGTGGACAAAGCTGCGCATATCCTCCTCTTCCTTGTCGCCTTGGGAGAGACGACAGGAAGCTGCAGGCCCGTCCGAGCTGCCCAATCCTGAGCTGATCACTTTTAATGAAGGTGTTAAAAGGAGAGAAAGTCTCCTGGCCCTGTTTATTTCATTCAAGAAGCAATCAATTTATTAATTAATACGGTAAAATATGAGCAACACAGCACTGGGTACAGTGGGGGAAGTTTTCCTTCCAACTGCACACCAATAGTTGAGGCTTACAGGTATTTATAGGGGTACTCATAAGCTTTCTCAGCAGTTTCTATTCCAATTTTTACTCATCAGCAGTTTCTATTCCAAATTTTTACATCACAATTCTATACCCATTGTGAATTAGTTTTTCTCAGGATGTATCCCAGAAAAGGAGTATCCCCAGATGGTGGTGGTCTGGTTTCCGAAAGTAGGAAGAAGTATCCATCTGGTGAGGTCCAGTTCTCCAGATGTGGGTCCACCTTTTGATTGCAAGGACTATAAATTTCATAACAGTGATGTCCAGCTTCCCTTGGTTGAAACTATTAATCATTGAATTGACGTTCATCTTCCTTTCTCAAGCTGCTTTTCACTGTTTTGTTAAGGCGCGAGATAAGCATATTTCCTTTTTATATATTCTGGAGCTATAGTTTCAAAGATCCTTACTACAAGCAATATTCTAAAATTATACTTCAATAGGTTATTATTGCAAAACTCTTTAAGGCTTAACTACAAGCAGAAAGTTCCTGTTAAAAAGCAATATCCTTAACGCTTTAATTCAAATGCTCCTAAATCAACTTAAGATCTATAAAGGTACAAAGGATAAGTTCAAAGGCCTTCTTCCATGCTTTATTTTCCTCAGTTATTATTAGAATTTGCAAATGTCCCACTGTCGGTCTCCACACATATCGCAATCACAAATACACACATTTCCTGTATGTACCTGACACGAAACACAGCTTTGTATTTCATATGTGTAACAGCTGGCACATGAAACACTGCATGTCCTCCAGGCAATACAGCATGGGCAGTATTTCATCTTCCAGAGGCTGCAAGATCAGCCGCACAGGGAATGGAAGACTCGGCCTCATCTGTCAGGGCACCGCTGGCTACACTGTAGGAGCTCTGAGGAGAGCTGATCCTGGAGGCTCTCTTTGCTGGGAAAACCTGAGCCAGGGGGAATTTTAATTTTCTTTAAGATTTTTCTTTTCTTCTTTTCCATTTTTTATCTTTATTTTAAATTAATAAATCATAGAGCATATATAATTATATATATTATTATATAATATAGATTACTGTAAATAAATAAATTTTAGAATGTGTTATGATACACAGACTGCCAAGAGCTTTTCTTTGCTGCACAGGGTCTGCAGGGCAAGAGGCAGGAAAGGATGAAAAGGCAGCTTGTGCACAGCAGCACAGCAGGCTGAGAGGTTCTGAGTCCCTGAAGGGGGAAAAGGGTGCTTGTGCTCAGCAGCCTGCCCAGACATACAGTGGGCAAGGAAAAATGGCCAGAAGCCCCTTGGCCTGTAGTGATTCTGCTGAAGCCTTTGTGCTGGTGACAGAGCGGCTGGGCAGGGGCCGGGGCTGCAGCGATCCCTGCCAGAGCGGTGCCTGGAGATGGCCACAAGCCCTGTGCCAGGCAGGAAGCACCATCCGTGTCCTCCTGCCCATGTGCTGCTGGCTGAATTGCTGAGGGCTTCCAGGTGACTCTGGATGGGGCTGCTCTGGAGCTGCTGTGGGGCTGCGGCGCTGCTGCTGGGCAGCTTGACCGGGCTGGGGCAGCCCCTGAGGGGCTGGGGCGCTGGCAAGCCCTGAGCAATGGGCTGTCAGAGGCCACAAGCAGCCCCCCGGCAGCCACCTTGTTCCTGCCAGAGTTGAATTGCAAGAGGGACCCTGAGCACTCTGGAACTAACAGCATCAGTGTTGTTGGAAACCCAAATGCAGGGAAATCTCAGACCGTTGGTCTTGTCAGCAAAGCTTAGAATTAAACACAGGATTTGATCGAAGACCTTGGAAAGGGCTTCCACACTTAGGTGCTAGAAGCGAGAATGTGGATTTCTAGTTTATTATAGCAGAGACACGGGGAGGAAGGTTGAAGTGGAGGAAAGTTTAGAGTTTTAGTGCTGAAGATCTAGAAAAATAAAAGTAGTTACAATGGAAAACAAGAAGCTTAGGATGCAGTGCTGTATGTTTTTGTGTCATAACATGATTGGCTAAGGAAGCTTACACTGTAGCATGAGTCCCTAAGACGAAATATTGAAGGATTGGCTGCAAAACATAAATATCCTTGTTGGCAGTGTCTTCTTGGCCAAGAAATCCTTCAAAGCTCTTGTAACTACAAGTCTTGTGGCCTTGTGAGCCATGCCGTGGAGATGTGAGCCAAACTCACCCTTCCTGTCTATGTAGAAGAGAAGAAAAAGCAATGGCATCATCTAAAAAACTCAGAGGTCTGCTCTCTAGCTCGTGAGTGTAGGCTGTCTCTTGCAGGTAGGTGCCACAGCCAAAGTCAATCAAACCAAGGAGCCATTGTGCCATTGCACAGTTCCATGAAACCAACGAAACCATTTTGATACTGCAAGGCCTCATGGAAGCAAGGGGCCACTGTGCCACTGCAGAGCCAAGGAGACCATTGTGGTATTGCTGGGCCTCATGGAAACAAAGATCTCTTGTGATACTACGGAGCCTCATGGAACCAAGGGGCAATTGTGATGCTGCAGGGCCCCAGGGATCCAAGAACATGGAAAAGTTCTGGTTGGCTTGGCTTAACTGGTCACACTGACCTTGCCATGTTGGGGGTTGCTTCTCATCTAGCCCTGGAGTTCTGTGCCTTCCTTCCTGTGGGAAAGAGCTGTCCTCCTTCAGGGGTTCATGGCTGACATTGGATTCTACCTCCATATTTAAATAAATCCAAAGATTGTCCTATTTCTGCAAAAACAGAAACTCTGGATGGCCTTGGCATCTTGGGGGCCACCTCTCATCTGCCTTCAAAACAATGGGGAGCCAAGCTTTTCTTTCCATGGAAAAAACATCTTTCAAACCCAGATGTCCATAGCCAAAATTGGGAATCTGCCTCCAAAATTCCTTATATCCAAGGACAGCTGCCAGACAAAAGCTGCCAGGACTGTCTAGGTTCCCTTGCCTTTCTTAGGGCCAGGTCTCATCTCCCTGTGAAACACTGGGGCTCTGTACTTTCCTTCCTATGGAAAAGAACTATCCTTCATGTCCAGGTGCCCATGGACAAAACTGGGATTTGGCCTCCCAAATTCTGTATATCCAAGGATTGCTCCCAGACAAAAGCTGCCAAGACAAACATGTCTGGCTGGCCTTGGCCTCCTTGGGGCTGCCTCTAATCACCCTATGAAACACTGGGGCTCTGCCCTTTCCTTCCTGTGGAGAAGAACTGTCATTCTGGCCTAGGCACTCATGGCTGAAATGGAATTCCACCTCCAAAACTCCAAAAATATCCAAGGGTTGCTTTCAGACAAAAGCTGCAAGGACAGACAGGTCTGGCTGGCCTTGCCCTCTGGTGACTGCCTCTGATCTGCCTTCAAAACCCATGGGGGTCTGTGGTTTCCTTCCTATAGAAAAGAACCATCCTTCTTCCCCAGGCACCCATGGCCCCAAGCACATGAGCACTGTACAGGGACAGAGGAGCTCCGTGCTCAGTGGGGTGGAGACTGAGGACAGCAGAGAAGAGCCCTGGGAGGGACTGAAGGTTGGTTTCAGAGATGGTGGATTCTTTTGACACAGTAGACAACAGCCTGAAAAAGGAAAACATCAATGCCAAGGGCAGCTGGGGAAGCCCAGATTGGGAACAAAGAGAAAGGAATTTTCCTCCCTGGGAAGGGCTGTGGTGAAACACGTTCCCCAGATGGAGTCTGGTCCAGCCCAAGGCTCTGTGTGGGCAGGCAGAGGCAGGCAGGAGGCAGAGCTGTCAGCAAAGGAAGGGGCCAGCCAGGTGGGGCAGCCAGGGGATGAGTTTTACAACATGGCTTATGTGGTCCAAGACCGGTTCCACATTACCGAAGGATGGCTGCAGCCTTGGGAGATATTTAG